CAATTCTAGCCATTATTTTCCCTATTTGTATATTTATTATGATTAAGTGAAGTGATATTAAGTATAGATGTGCCCCTTTAGTTTTATGAATATCTAAAAGTCCGAGTAAATGTCCTCAATGTCTGCCAACTGTTGCGCAGATATCGATGCACCGCGCTCACTTGTTCGGGGTGTTTGTATAAGTCCTGCAATAACTGTATTAAGAAAAATGGTGTCTTTATCAGGCGTCTGATTACGTTTTGGAAGATAACATGCCAGTTTCGGTCCAGGTGGATGAAAAAATTGGACTTCAATTGCCTTTGACACAGAGTGAACATCTATAACGGTTGCTATATACCATTTATCCAGCACTTCTACAATCAAATAACAATTTTTGGCAAGCTCGCGCACGTCGTGTATTTGCTGTCTTTTTATCGGATTTTGATAACATTTGAAACCGTGTAGAATTGACCGATGTTGATGTGATACTGGCGTCCACTTCACCAGTCGAAAAAGTCTCAAAATGATGATATTGGCGCATGCCTTTAATCGGGCCTGCTGTAGGTAGTTTGTTCCATCGTTCCGCTAAACGAAGACGACTTTGCTCAATCTTTGCAGCTTCCAGGTAGAACACCTAGAGGACAAACATGGTCTGGTAGCTAAACGCCCCTCTTCCGGATCTGAATGATTTAACACTTCGGCTGCACGCTTCGTCAATACCACGTTTTTGCTGTCATATGCGGCTTTCATTTCCTTGAAACACGTTAGGCACAATCGATTCTTTGGTATAAATAACAGCCGACGGAAAGCTGGGCGAGTACGATAACGTTGGGTAATGTATCAAGCAAGGGTTTCAGCGTATCTTGAATCATATTGTTATAGAGGCTCGCCTTTCACCTTCTTCGCGTCAGGGCTCTGGGAATCATCACGGTGATTCACGGGATGTTCACCGATCTTGCTCTTGGGCATGAAAACGATACAGAAAAAGTGTCTCACTCGTACTTTTTAAACTAGCTTTCGTCAATTAACCGTCATTCTGCTTTGCAGGCTTTAGGCACAGTACATGTCAGTGTGAGAAAGAGGATACACTGAAAATTAGTTCGCTATATATAGGTTTGTCTTTCCACTCGACGAATACGTTATCGCTTCTTCCAATTTTCCCCTTTCCTTCGTTTCTCCATCCACGGTTAAATTAATACCAGATGCACAAAATTAAAATGTATAGCTACGTATTAAAAGCTAACAGGAGCAGTAAAGCCGATGGAAAGAGAACACCTCGTCTTTCTTTAAAATAAAAAAAAAGCGAAAAACGGAGGAATAATCGAACAAGCCATCATTCACCATAGGGAGGATAAACAGCGCAGAATGATCCGCCCGAAGCCTTTGTCAAACTTCCCTGGGTGCTATCACGAGTAGAATGCATATGGCTATAGATGAAATGGCTGCGATTATTTGTGAAAAAACGCATGCTAAGACGAAAACCCGCTAGAATTC